GATTATTGACATCCGGTTTGAACGAAACTTCCTTCAAAGAAGGTGGGCCGCTCTCGAGTCGGGGAAGGGGGGGTGTCCGGAGGGTCGTTACCTCTCTACTTCGCGCCCGGGAACAACTTTTAAATTTAAAAAGGGAACTCTCTTTGCCTGATACTGCGTAGAAGTCATACCAAAAATACATGATATCCTTCCAAAAAAACAAAAATATGATTTTTGTACAAAATTTCGGCCCAATCCAAAAAATGTCACTAATTACCAAAACAAAAAAAAAAAAACAAAAAAAAAAAACAGGCACCCAAAAATATGATGGCAGTACCGTTTGGATTCATCATTTAAAAGGAAATGATATCAAAACGGCCCAATTTCCTCTTTCATGATATACTATACACCCCAACGTTTTTCACAAAAAATAAAAAAACAAAAAAATTAAACACCTATAAGGTATGATGACCTGAACACGTTTTGATCCATCGCTTTAAAGAAGTATGATATCAAATCGGCCCAACTTCTCTGAAATATGCCCATCTCTGATCAGTAATTTTTCGAGACCTTCCGACTCATCGCTGAGGAGACATTGAGGAGACTTGACCCTTAGTGTATGTCCTTGTTTAGATGTCAAAGAGGTCCATATGAGACATGTAATGATTTTTTTTTCTTTAAAGAGATAAAAAACAAAAAATCGTCATAAAATTGAAAAAAAATTCGAAGAAAAAAAAAAGGAATGGGCCGGCCGGCACGTACAAAAAAAAGGGGGAAAAATAGATACATTTGTATGCCCCGACATTTTGGCATGGGTGACCGACCCGGTCTTGCCACATCCATGAAGTTGTTAAGAAAGAAGCATTGTAAGTAGGAGGCACATAATATTCGCAATAATACGCTAAGGTTCAGAAGTTTGTAAGGCTTTCTATCAGGAACCAACAAAGAATATGGCATTGCTTGAAAGTTGTTAAGTGGTTCACTCATGTGTGAATATCTTTCAGTGACGATTTCGAGAAGGACTGATCCTCCTTTTGACGATGATACTTGTTCATGTATATATGCAAGAGAGACGATAATCACCCTATTATCTACCACTTGTATGTACGGCCGGCCCGCCCATTCCTTTCTTTTTCTTCGAATTTTTTTTCAATTTTATGACGATTTTTTGTTTTTTATCTCTTTAAAGAAAAAAAATTCAATACATGTCTCATATAAACCTCCTTGACATCTAAACAAGGACATACACTAAGGGTCAAATAATGATCAGTGTCTCCTCAGCGATGAGTCGGAAGGTCTCGAAAAAATTAGGTATTGATCAGAGATGGGCTGGGCATATTTCAGAGAAGTTGGGCCGATTTGATATCATACTCCTTTAAAGCGGTGGATTAAAACGTGTTCAGGTCATCATACCTTATAGGTGTTTAATTTTTTTGTTTTTTTATTTTTTGTGAAAAACGTTGGGGTGTATAGTATATCATAAAAGAGGAAATTGGGCCGTTTTGATATCATTTCCTTTTAAATGATGAATCCAAACGGTACTGCCATCATATTTTTTGGGTGCCTGTTTTTTTTTTTTTTTGGTAATTAGTGACATTTTTTGGATTGGGCCGAAATTTTGTACAAAAATCATATTTTTGTTTTTTTGGAATTATCACGACTCTTGTTCCCTCGATCAGCTAATCTCACTTCAGATTGTTTCACACTTTCACAACATTTCCGGAATTTAAAAAGTTCCGGGGAAAAATTCAGTAAACTCTCAAAAGTTCCGAAAAGCCGGCCACGATGGCAGCGTGTCTGACTCTAGATCAATAGGTCCCAGGTTCAAATCCCGGTAGTGGTGTCAAATTTTCATTGAACTGACGTGTAGATCTGCTGGAACAAGTCCCACGCGGCTTTAATCCTTGAAAATGTGAAAAACTTGGAGCATGGATGTGTACTAACCATGTGCAGTAGCTGTTTGTCTAGCGACTAAGGCCAAAGTTAACCCAACTTGAAGAGGGTTCAAAGCTCTTGATTAAAAAAAAAACAAGCAGTGAACTCCAACACAATGTGTTGATAAGGCGCGTTATTAACTCGCACATATCAACCCCTTTAGTTTTCATTTACAGAGATTTCAAAATAGGCAAACAGCACAACAAGAGAATTCACGATCCAACACTGCGAGGTCAAAGACGCACCTTGACGAGACCGTGTATTGTGAAAGTAGAAAGTTATTCGATCGAATTTAAGTTTTTTGATCTGCCTTAAGCAAAATCTTATCAGATTCTTGAAGAAAAGTGCTACAGAATAATTTAAGCGAAGAAAGGAAAAATTCTGTCGAACTCCTAGAAGATAAAGTCGATTTAAAGGTATTTTGGGGCTAAAATACCCAAATCACCGGTAGTACCTATAAATCCCGTTATATTATTGAAAAGAAATTGACTCGATATAAATGCAATTGCATTAAATACGTCTTGATTTTGTTATTTTAAACGTCTTTCCATGCAAAGAAGTTCAACCATGTCGTTGCTTTATTCATTCATGAATTGAAAGTAAGCAATCTACATCCCGAAAATCTACTGATTTGCCGTAAAAAATTACAGAAACTTGATATACCAGGTCGACGCACCCACTCGTTGAATTTACCAACCAATTTCGTGAGTGCAAATGTGCAAAAATCAATATGCTATAGTCATTTTGGGTGCATTTATTTTTCATGAAACAATAATAATTTCAATCCTGAAAAACCATCAATTTTCCGTATAAAATCGAAAAATTCAAAATATGTCGACTCCCCGACGTGAAAATTAGATTATACGTGTGTAAATACTTATGTATCGATATGCTGAACAGAAACTATGTGTTGACACAGTCAGAAGCCCGCGGCAACATTAATTCAACAGAAAAACTGTAAAAATTAGATCGGATTTTAGCCGCTTTGCCCGCCTCTCCTCTTTACTTACAACAAACCGTTCTTATACTCATCTCAAAATTTTTCTCAGAGCTTTGGGTTATTATCAGCTTCCATTTAAACTCCGGTTCGATGGCCGAATCGGCTGCCAAAAAAGCAAGCCACTGTTAAAGGGTTCTATGAGAAATTCGTGGTATTATCGGCTCTCAGGAAATCACCCCATGGCTAAAATTGGTGGTATAAATGTTTAAGTGCTTAAAATAATCGTATTCAAGAAACTAAGGAATTAAACTATGGAGTAAATTTCTTTTTAATAATATAACGTGATTTACTACCGGTGATTTAGCTATTATAGCCCCAGAATACTTTTAAAGCGCCTTTACGTTCCAGAATCTCGACGGAATTTTTTTTTTTTTGGCTTAAACGATTCAAGAGACATTTTAGTTAAAAATATAAAGATTTTTCGATTTGGACGTATAAAAAATGTTTAACTCGTTCAGGCACACCGTGTATTGTATGGAGTACTGCTGTTATTCGACCGTTGTCTTCAGGTCAAAATTCTTACAAAGAAGCCCCTTGCAAGAGGCGAATTTTTTGTAATTTCTCCCAGTTTTTTCAGCGTTAGGTATATAAATGAATTGCTTGTCAAATTCTGAGGTCAATTATATTTAATTGTAATTTATACTTTCTTTTTTTCCCCTTCATTTTATTTTTCGTATCGAGAAGTCGAGGTTTTGTTGATTTCTTCGGATTTCGATTACTGTAACTTCTCTTCTATTCGGCCGATTTTTATGAATGAGGTCTCTTTTCATTTGTGTTTTAACGGAGAGTAAGGAAAAAATTGCTAAATACACGCGAAACAATTTTTTTTGAAAATTGGATGAATCCTAGCGTGACGGTGAAATGGTTAATGAAGCGTGAGTAATTGGGGTACGGGTATCGGCCGCGTTGGGACCCAAGGCGGCCCAAGGCCTATTGTTCTTCGTGACGCCGCCGACGCAGTGATCAGGAGCGTGGGGAAGAGAGGGCTGAGTGGACTCCTGTATGAGCCACGTTTAGCAAATGGTCTAGTGAGTCTCGAGGCTCATCACAGATTGCACTTACCACTATCCTGCTGGCCCCGGCTATCAGAGCAAGGAGTACCAACTTTTGAAAAGGATAACAGTGGTGTGGAGATATGTCAAAGCAACGTTTTGAACAAAACGGAGTGAGTGAAATTCTCATTCAAGGAGTGCCGAACTGGTCAGCCATCCTCGAATCAGTTCGCTTGCTTCCGCTTATATATGCATATTTTAAATCAGCGCGTCGTTCTCTTAGGCTTTTTTTAAAAAAACCAAGTAACGTAGACTCTTGGTATTCACTGCACATAAACTAGCGAGCCCCAGAATGAGAAACAACTTTAAATCATAATTATGGACGGATAAATAAACTTTTTACACGCTTTGGAAAATCTCAGAAGTTCGCGGTAGTCACTTTTCGGTAAGGAACTAAGGGACTCGGTAATTGTATCGAGCAGGGTTCGAAACGATCGCAAAGGCGGTATACTACGTATACGCGCCAAAAATCTTCCGGAATTCGTAACTACAGTGAAAAAAAATTTCCGGCGTTTTTACCAAGGTCCGTTGGTATCTTTACCATCTCACTTTTCTAACCAATTATTGGTAATTTTACCTAGACAGACTGGTAAGCTTACCTAAAAACCCGTATTTTTACTGTTTTTTTCAGGTAAGAATACCACTTTTATTGCTAATCAATTCCCGGTAACTTCGCCATTTTACCTCGGTAATTCTACCACAGTCGATAAAAAAAATTGGCGTTTTTACCAAGATCCAGTAAAATTACCGAGAAAGTTCATAATTTTACCGAGATTTCTCGGTAAAATTACCAATTCCATAAATGGTAATTTTACCGAGGAAAAACCTGGGATCAAATAGAACCCTGAATTCTTGGTAATTTTACCCTTTTCTTAGTAAATACACCGAGATTTTTTTTTCCAGTGTGATTAAAAAAAAAAAAAATCTTCCGGAATTCGGAACTAAATATAGTTCCGGGAAATGGGAGCATTGCATTCCTCAGGCACCAGTGACTTCAAGAATCTTTCCTGAAATGCTGAAGAAAGGGCTCTTACTTGAAGTTCTTCTGTAAGATGTACACCCGCCGGAACTGGGGTCCATTTCAAAGCAGCTGCCACGGCTCTATCGCCTCTGATCCTATCGTAACCCCCAATTGTCATGTAACCTGGTATGCCGGAATTGCAGTCCTGGGTTTCGGCTACGTACGGGTAGTCTTCAGCTCTCGAGACTCCAAAAGTCTTCACGTGAAGTAGAGCATTCCCTATGTCGCCACTTTCGCATCCCTTGGCCTCTGGAACGCAGTCTACCAGATCTGCCAAAATATTGACTTGCATCGATAAGCTTATACAGCAGATTTTAATACTGTACATAGAAAATGGATTACATTTTGCAATAAGGAATCACTATTTCTGGCCGATTTTAGAAACAACATACATGCCGTTCGTTCCCTGTGCAGATATGTGGTTTTATGGGAGAGCCAGAGATAGTGGCTCCTTATTGCAAAATGTAATCCAAATAACGAATGAAATAAAAGCAAAAGCACGGGGTGCAGGCTGTGAATAAAAACAGTTTGGACGGGGCATTTCGGGATTAACATACCCTTTTTCAACCGCCGAAAAAACAAAACAAAAAATTAAACAAGTTGGATTTTGCAATCGCTAGCGATAGCAATATTCGTCATGGGAACGTTAGCTTCTGGGATATGAAAATGTTAAGGTGCAGTTCGTTTGTAGTATCTTCTGAATTGAAGGGGCTATGTAATTTTGTGTTGACATCTCTTTTTTGTCATGAGAACGGAGTTCCCCATGATATTACAATCGTTCCGTTGCTTTCGCTATGGGATTCCCTATACCTCTGCGACCTTGAGCGTTTCGCCCAGTCTCCGATTTTTGGTTGATTTTCCGATGTATCAAAAACCGTTGTATTTTTTAGCCAATCGTGTCTCTACGTCAAGTTGTGTTGATTTCTAAAATTCGCTTTCAGCGAGTTTTTTTCCACCTTCAGATGTCGTGTCTGACTGGTAAATCTGCGCAGAACCACGAAGTTCCGTTTTTAGGCAAATTCCTTTTTTTGGGAGGTTCTGATTGGTTATTTTTCGCCATCAGTTTTCTGTTCGTTGGTGCAAAAGATCGCCTACCTCGTTGCTCTTGAGAAGCCGCCATTATCATACCTCAAATTTGAAAAATAGAAGTAAAGAAATAATAACCATCGTACAAGGTGGAAAATTGTTCTGGAGGACTCGTTACGGATATATGAGCCAAAATCGGAACTCGATTGATTGATTTATTCCATGAATACAGAAATATTGCCTGAGCTTACTGCTGCGATGGCAAATGCCTGCTGATATGAACCTTGAGACACATGATAGCATAGGCAAACAATGTCTCACAGAGGAAGGCGCTTAGCTCGTTTCTCCAGAAGCTACGAAGACGCGAATCGCCGAATCGCTCAAGGACAACTCTTGTGATAAGTCCCGCCCATCGTCCGAGTCTTTTAAATGCTATTTTTTCTCATTCTATCGTTGATCTGTGATAGCCTAGTTGACTGAGGCGCCTCATATTTCGATAAGGTGCGGGCAATAGGCGATCGGGAGTTCGATACCCGATGATGGGTGTTACTTTTTAATGGTTGTATTGAATGTTTTAGAGCAATCATCAAAAAATAATTAATACTAGATGATAAATGTACGAACATTTTCTCGTGCGTTAATATGTTAAACAAAAATACTGGAATATACCTCCTTCATATAATCAGCCACATGTTCCCCTAAATTAATGACGTTATTTTCTTTTTTCAATAAAGTTAATTTGCATTCAACGTTCGTAAGTTAAGCAAAAAGTACCTATTGATACAAATAGAAAGACATGAAAATAGTATGTCTAACATTTCAGTTGTTTTTTTTTTTTTTTATTTTTTGTTTTTTTGTTTTTTCAATACAACAAATTGACTGGGACTAGAATCATTGTATCTCTGAAGACAAAAGCTAAGTTTTTTGATACAGAAATACTAATATATTCATCCTTTATATAATCAGGGAGATGTTGACCCAAATATTGATGTATATTTTCTCTGTTCGCACAAATCAATGATGGTATTTTCTTTTTTCAATAAAATTAATTTAAATTCCACGTTCTTAAAGCAATATTTTCTCCAAAATTCAGCAAAAAATAACAATTTATACCTACGCAAAAAGTAAATAAATAAATAAAGCAATGACATGAAAGTAGTATAGGTAGTACACATCTAACATTTCGATTACATCTATTTGAATGAAAAAAATGGCAACTTAGGAAGCACATAGGTCACTTATCGACGGTGAAACTACCAAACCACGTATCTCGGTTTGCGACGTCGCAGACTTTCTGTCATACTTTATTTTTTAAATGAAAAGCTACTTAACGTCCAGTCTTGAAAATTTCCGTGATTTTTCCTCTTCGTGCGGAGGAAATTCTGTGAAAATTTCAAGGAATAATATTGATTTGGTCTACTTCAAGAAAATAAAATGTGAGCGGAGATTTTTAAACACCGCAAACGAGATACGTGGTTTGGTAGTTTCACTGTCGTTATGATGCGTATTCGGGCATATGCGTAGAGTAAAAATATCATCCTTTACGCCGAAAAAACGAAACTGAAAGTTAAATGCGCTAACTTCCAAAAACCATACATAATCCAACGAAAATAAATAATTGGTAAATAACAGCTTTCTTGTATGCAAAGAAAAAAAATTAAAAATGTTAAAAAAGAGATGTCGACACAAAATTACATAGCCCCTTCAAATCTGAAGATACTACAAACGAACTGTACCTTAAAATTTTCATATCCCTGAAGCAAAAGTTCCCATGACGAATATTGCTATCGCTAGCGATTGCAAAAACCAACTTGTTAATTTTACAATTTTTTTTAACAAACAATAAATATTCTTATAGTCCTCCAACTTCTCGTGGATTTATCCCAGATTATATAGAATCTACTTACAAAATTTCAAGTTGGAAATGTTACTGCATATTCTATTTCAATAAGACACACTAGAGAACCAGCCAACACCTGATGCACTGTGCTAAGGAGGAACGCCGTATGAACCTTCGTGCGTTGCTAAATTTCTTTGGATGAAATGAGATTTTTTAGGAATACTTGTGAAAATTTTCCGTCCACTGTTCCAGAGAATTTTATTTGCAAGAATATCTAAAGTATCAGAAAATTTCAAGCACAAATATTCTTTATTTGCACCAAAAATTATTATTTTAGGAGGGGAAATTTGACAACTCTCGGATGTTCGTTGGGCTTTTTTCCTTAGCATGGCAGTAAAGTAATCAGACTGGTACTGGTTAAATCCATCCATGAATTGAACGTTTTTATGCTAAAAAGATCTAATGTATGCTGCATGCAAACCCTATGCGCATAGTTCCTTTTATCATAAACCTCGTTTGAAGGGTCAAAGGGGGATCAAAGATCGAACCATATGTTGATGTCATTAAGCACCACAAAACTATCGAATAAAAAGCTTATATATTTGAGGCATGAGTTCAGTTTAAATTTAGTAAAATATGATCAAGCCCTTTGACTAACCAAAAACTGCTCGTTTAACAGGCAAGGGTAGAAATACCCTTTCCCTCTCTTAACCTGCGTTGGTTTTGGTTTTTTTCGGGTGTCAATTATAAGCGACGATCTCTTTTTTTATCCTCCAGTTTATTAATTCATCTTGTGTTCGAAGTGTTTGCTGTGACTTTTCGATAGGGAAATTTGCTTTCAGGGCATTTTTTGCCTGAAAACAATCTTAGCCCCTTCTTAATTTCTCAAATTTTTTCTCATAGTTCTTTTTCCCCTGATCATGGTTATCTCTAATAAAGTAATTTCCACTTTTCTTACCTCAGCCACTTCTTCGACGATCTCTATTTTATCCTCCAAGGATGAAAAATAAAACTTAACACAGTTTTTGGGGATAGAACCTTTGATTTGTTTTTCGTTGAATGCGCAGAAGCAATTATCCTCCACGCAGGTGCCGATAGCCCATGGAGTGTTCAGCAAAGCCATCTTCCCGTAGGCAGTGTTACAGTGAACATTGCAGCCCTTCACTCCACCCAATTTGCACAGACCATCACTATGAACTGTAGGAACAAAGGAGATAATTAAAAAGAGCTTAAAAGTTTTTTAGGGGGAAAAATCGACGGCGCGGACCACTAAACAGGAAAGGTCACCCCCGCACAGACATTTCATTCTATAATTTATTTTTTACTAGCAGTCAATCCGCGCTTCGCGCGGCGATATTGCAGGAAACAAATCGGAATATCTCATAATATATGCGTATAACTTTTAATTCACTGATTTTATTTAGATTTAATCATAATCAACATCTGAGAAAAGACCGTATCTAATATCAAATTCAGTTTTTTCATCGCCCACAAAGTAAATTTGAAGGAAAGCAGGGGTACTGTTTAACGGAAATAAATTACCTATTTGGTGATAAACTTGGCCCTGAACTTTAAAAGTGGGCATAAAATTACCTTCATTTATTAGGTTAGCTCCGAAAGAAGTCATTTGGAAACATGAATTATACTTACGCATAGAATCAAGAAAATGCTCAGAACTTTCATGTTTACCGTTCATTAACGAAAAAAGGGGTTCGGGAACTTTTGCTAAAGGAGGCAAAATCACTCTACCGGACTTGCAACACATTCCTTCAGATTCACCTTTCCACTTTAAAGCATGACACCATTTGCAAATATAATTCATTTTTCCAATAGAGATAAAATTATTCAACTCATAATCTATATTTTTGTCATAAGCAAACCCACAATAATTATTTTTACAGCTTACAGATTTTCTTCTCATATTAGATTTTTTAACGGATTCTGTAATTTTCTCAACATTATTTTTTAAATAACTTTCTATAATTTCCTTGCGTTTATCAGGATTCTTCTGAATGTAATTTCTAACGGCCTCTCTAATAACTTGAGGATTTTTACGATAATATTTTTTGCAAGCAGCTTTATTGACTTGCGGGTTTTCGCGTGAATACTTTTTAACCGCATCTCTATTAACCTGAGGATTTTTATTTCTGTATTTAGAATAAGTTTTCCTTTGACTTTCAATATTTAATTTTCTAAAATTGGCGGCGCGATTTTTATTTTTAAATTTATCAAGTCTGCTATTCATTCGAATCCGACGTTTCTTTTTTAATTTCGGTAATGCCTGAAAATCAGATAACATAGGAATTGACTCTGCTGTACTTACAATCATTGATAAATCATCAAATGAAGGAGGGGTTACTGTACTGTTAATTACATCTAAGACATCAAAATGGCCGCTTAATAGGACCACTGAATAAAAATCTTGC